GAAAGAGAGAGAGAGAGAGAGAGAGAGAGAGAGAGAGAGAGAGAGAGAGAGGAGAGCGTGGACAGTGACATGCTCCAGGCCGTGACAGGAACAGGAAGTGAAGCAAGACGAGAGTAGATGCCACAGCGACCCCAGGGAACCCAAAGAATCAGAGCACGCCGTCGTTTGTCATAGTGAGCCGGCGAGTTAAGCCGGCGAGTCACTCAAACGTTGACAGGACACAAAGAGAGAGCACAGTCGATTAAACATCAGTGGAAGTGGAAGCATCGCTGGTTTGTGATTTGCCTACACCCCACCCCCTCCTCCTCAAGCAACACAATACTCCAAACTGGACAGGCAATGTACTAAATGGCGTCCTCACTGTGCACTCTCCGAGTCTTCTATACAAAATGATGGGACTGAAAATAGATTTTTACCTGCACCAAATCTTTGATTTCCACCTGGGAAAATAACAGTGGTTAGCTTCAACAACAGCATTGACTCATAGGCAGATCACAGGAAGAACATGTCCATTGTACAGGCCCACTCACCTAGCTAGCCTAGAAATAGCACTGACTTGGGGAAATCATCATTTTAAACACGTCTGTTGTATAGAAAAAAACCCAGCCCGAATCCAAATGCAGTCTTTCCCAACAACTGTCCTTCAGCAGTCATGAGACCATTTCCAATCTCAAGCTTTGGGACAAGATCTCACCTTTTCAAAGAGCCTTCCAAAGTGATTCCACAAAACAAGGTTGACATTATATCCTATTTCTAAAAAGTAGCAATTTGATGGCTAGATTACCGACCAGCAAACAGTTTTCTGGATTAAATAAATCATTCAATCCCAAGTGGCCATTTCTAGGTGGTGCCACCCCCCCAAACACACACTTTTAAACAGTAGTTTGTTTGGGGGTTTTTTGTTTGATATTGACGCCATCTGATTAGTAGAAAAATGTGCGTATGATAGTGTCCAATAGTGTATTACGTACATCATTGTTCTAACATGTAACTGTAACAGAGATAGACATTCAAGATAATTAGAGACGTTTGTGAAGGTTGTCGTTAATCCTGAGACATTTACCACACAGACAGAGTCCAATGTCTGGCTTGTGGAACTGTGAAATGTCCAACAAGACCACACTCCGACTCATCTCCTTTTAGTTTCAGTAAGAGTTTTACGGCACTTGCAACACAATAAGGTCATATAAGTGCCGAAGAATAGATAACGTGTTACATGAGAGTAATAAACACAAAAATAGAAGGATCCGACTCATCTCCTTTTAGTTTCAGTAAGAGTTTTACGGCACTTGCAACACAATAAGGTCATATAAGTGCCGAAGAATAGATAACGTGTTACATGAGAGTAATAAACACAAAAAAGAAGAAGGGGAGATCAGGACGACAGATGTTTGATAGGAAAGAAGGAGCAAGCCACAACAGAGCACCCACCACCCACACTCCGACTCATCTAGTCAAACACACAGGAAATATATATATATATATATATATATATATATATAAATATACTTCATTTCAACAAATCAGTCGTGTTAGGACAGGGGATTTCATACATGAAGCAGACAACAATGAAATGTTTCATACACTTGGGATCTTTGGCTTCTTGGCTTTGGAACATCTTGGAACATCAGGACCGTGGACGAGCATCTGTCTGGAGATAATCTTGATCGTCTTCCCCGCGTCTGTCATTCTGTTCCGTGAGGGAACTCTGGACTTGACAGCTAGGTATCAACTCATGACACCGCCACATCATCACACAACCATAGGCTTAAGCTTTAGTTTTAGTAAGAGTTTTATGGCACTTGCAACACAATAAGGTCATATAAGTGCCAAAGATTAGAGGTGTTACAAGAGAGTAACAAACATAAAAAAGAAGGAGGTGAGATAGAGACAATAGATTTTTTTATAGGAAAGAAGGAGCAAACCACACACGAGCACCCACCAACCACCCACACCCATGGTCTACATGAGCTTGGTTTTTTGCTGGGAGGTTTTTTGTTTTTGTTTTTTAAAGTTTCTTATGAAAAGCCACTAAGTTCAGCTTCAATTTAACTTTTAACATTAAAAACCTGAGTTTAATTAAAGGACTCTTTGATTTCTTTATCCTTGGGAAGTACGGAAATTAAAGTAATGATTTCTTACTGAGAGAGGGAGAGAGACAGAGACAGAGACAGAGAAAGCAAAAGGTTTTAAATAGCAAAAGAATTTTTTTTTTTAAACCAAGGAAGGAAAGTAATCAGTCATTTGTTTTGCGAGGACAGTCTTTTCCAAAACTGCACACACCAACAACACATGATGACACACCAACGACACATGATGACACACACGATGACGCACAACAACATGAGAGACACCACACATACATCACAGTTTTATTTACACACCGTGTTACACACACATTTACATACGCCTGTACACATATTTACATACGCCTGTACACATATTTACACAACAAGACTTTGAAGGAAGAGTGACACAGCATACTTACCAACCTCAACATTGTTCACAAACAGCGCATTTCCAGGTGTGAGTATATAAAAGCCATATTGTCAGTTTTACTTTTAGTAAGAGTTTTACGGCACTTGCAACACAATAATGTCATATAAGTGCCGAAGACTAGAGGCGTTACAAGAGAGTAACAAATTAAAAAAGGAGGAGATATCAGGAAGATAAGATGTTTGATAGGAAAGAAGGAGCAAACCACACCAGAGCACCCACCAACCACCCACCCATATTGCCAGTTTTAGTCTAGTTTTAGTAAGAGTTTTGCTGCACCTTCAACTTAAACAGGGCCACAGATTAGAGGTGTTATTACTAGAGAGCAACATACAA